AGTGGCCTTGCAGTATAGTTTGATATTAGGTACTATAATCCCTCCTACTTTGTTCTTCTTTCTCAAGATTGCTGTGGCTATTCAGGGTCATTTTTGGTTCCATATAAATCTTGAAATATTTGTTCTAAAATTGTGAAATATTGGTATTTTAATAGAGACTGTGTTTAATCTACAGATTGTTTTGGGTATTATGGACATTTTAATGATGATGATCCTCTAATCCATAAACATGGTATATGCTTAATTATTATTTACACTTGAGAATTGGTATGTCTATTCTTCTGTCACATGTGGAGTTGTTCAGTCAATTTAGGGATTGAGCTTGGTGTAGATTTTATTGTTATCATAGTTACCTTCGGCATACCACAGGTGTCCAATTCTTCTAGTAGTAGATTACCATTGTTGGGTACTTAATGTGAGAGATGAGTTGGAGAGTTTTTCTCAATTTTCCTTTGAGCTTTGAACCATTCCTGCATTCCAATACCACAAAAGGATCTCCCTCCATTCATTCTTGACCTTCCCCCAGCAGTAGAAAGCTTCTGTTTGTCACACCTGGTGGTGACTCATGGTTGAGGCAGGTGGGATTTTCAGGTGAACTGGACCAGTGTCAGTACTGTGTGGGCCCTGCAGCTCTCCTTCCTACAGCAGCAAAAATCGACTCTGGATTTGTGTTGGTCTTGAGTGGTACTGCCCTATTCTTCTTCCAGTAGTAAAAGACCTCTCTCTAGGAAGTGGTGTAAGGTACTGGGGCCTGAGACAGTTTCCTGCAACTCGTCAGAGGTGAAGGGTCTTCCCTGCTACCTTCCCCCAGCAGCAGTGGGTCTCTGGTTATGCCCTAGGGACCAAAGGGTTCCTCCCTCCACAAGCAAAAGGGTTTTATTCCAATCTCCCTCCAGAAATGTATGAAATAAAGTTTCCTGCACCATTGGTTTGAGATTTAAAGGACTCTGAGTTAATGACAGGGACTTTGCGCCTATCTTCCACCAACCACAGACCACCTCCTTCATCTCTACACCACCAAGGTGACTTTCCTCGGGTTGTTGCCTTGCACCTAATCTCAATAGTAAGTATCCTGTGGAGCCCCAGTGAAATGTATCTGGCAATCGAGTGTGAAGGCACCTTTTATCAGGAGCCCCTAGATATTCCAAATCAGTCCATACTTAGTCTTTAGCAATCAGTTAAAATTTTAGTTGATTTTCTCTTACCAATTTTGATGGCAGCCATCTCTTTCTCTCCTGCCCTGCCAAAAATGAAACAATTCGTGGCCCATGTTTTAGGGGAGGAGGGCTGTCCAGCTCTTTGAAATTTAAGTTACTTTGTTGCTTTCCAAGCTGAGCTCAGAGAAATTATGATTTTGTAGATCATCCACCTTTTTATTGTAGGTGAGCGTGAGAGGCTCTGTGCACATTCTTCACGTCCTGAATAAAAGAAGAAGTCCTCTTCCACTCTGATTCACATCTCTTTTCTATCTTTGTAAAGGCATCACCATTGTTACAGGCACCCAGATAAAACTTTGAAAGTATCTGACTTCACTATAACAATGCTTCATAACCAATCAATCATCTGATTAATATAGAAAACTGTTCGGCATTGCATGGGGAATATAGACCAGGCCCTGACCTGGAAAATCCAGTGGGAAGCAAATCAGCACATGGGACCCACACCCATGGATAGGTTCTCCTGTGGGGAATCAGGCCTGCATTGTACCCAGACTGCTATGAAGCTTGCTTATGCTAAAATTCCTTCACCATGAATTGAGGCAGAAAATGTTTACTGCATATCTTTAAACTTCCTAAAATCCATGCTAAACCTTCTAAGTATGGAGTGTAACCAGTTCAACCACGTTTTCCCCTTCATCTGTAATATCCTTTTCTTTGAAGTGATTAGCAACATTCTTTCCTTTGTTATCTGTAAAAGGTAATCACCTACAGCAAACCTGTGCCTAGTAAATGAGACCTCGATGTAATGTACCAGAAAAGCAACAAAAGCCCATCCAGGCAGGGGTCAGGCCCTCTTTCTCACTTAGAGAGCGGCCATGCTGTCCCCTTTCCTCCACAGGACGTCTGTAGTCCGTGTAAATTTGTTTGTAGCAGCCACAGCACATGGACCCCACAGGTTGGAGTCCACATCAGATTAAGTCTGGATTAGATAAATCACTAACATCTCTTTATTAGGATATGTTTTATAGTATAAGTACTTCTACTTTATAGAATAGTATAAGTACTTATTATCACTCGGGGGTCTCTTACGTGAAACAATACTCCTTCCACCAGCTTCCTGCACTCTGCCTTCTTCTAGTTAAATCTGACTGTCATCAGACTGCCCTACTACTGTAGCAATGCTGGACTGTTTCTAATCAAGGACATGATCAATCCGATCCTATTCTGCTGTTATAAGCCACTTTTCCACAGGAAAGGCACTCTATTCTATTTCGCTACTGACCCAGGTCCTCCTTTTAGCATCTGGAAATGTTATCATTCAAGGTCTATTACAAAGGGGACACTTTCCATAAATAAAAACTTCCCTAATCACACAGACAGAACTCCTCTCTTTTGAATTGTATACTGCCTTATTTGTACTATAAAAATAACACATTACAGATTTGCATTAAAGTCACACACATTTCTTACACCCCTCGTAATACTGTAAACTCCAGAAAGGTAGACAGCAGATCTTATAAACTGTTATATTCTCTTTTACCTTCCCTACATAAATATTTATCTTATAAACTAAAATAGCAAGAGTAATAAAATGACACCGTATTTCACCGTGTATATAATGCATACCCACATTTTTGTGCACATTATACACAGAATTATTATACCGATGTATAATGCGCATCCTTATTCCCCCCTCAAATATCTGGGCAAAAAGTGAGTATTATACATGTCAAATATGGTACTTTCCTTCCTACAATCCATGCATCCTTGATGCATCCCTGACAAGGTCACTAAAATACGTTGTCAGCCCAGAAAACACTGTCTGTTTTTGAAATGTCTCAAGAAGGGAGAAACACACATACTGAAACAATAGTTATGATGCTATTCAAGCACTTTCAGAGGTTTAGTTTAGGGTCCTCTCGGCATAGCCAACCATTTCTACTGTTAGTGTTAAATGTATAATGGTAATCTCAAACATAAATATACTGAAATCCCTTTATTTGGCTCCATGGAAATAACCCCAAGAGATCCACAAAGGTTACTAAGGAAAATCACTGCCTCTCATAAAAAGAAATAAGGCTGTATATACCTTACTAATTATGTTAGTGACTTATTTGGTAATCACATTCAAGCATTTTGCCAAGACGTGAAGGTGACATGTTTCTACCAAGTCATTTTCAATGAACAGAGAGAGGTATAATCACAGATGAACAGGAAGAAAAGAAAAAGAATAGTTCCAATAGTTTATGCCTTTTTATTATAGTACCATCAAAAACATTTTAAAGAAATGGCATATAAAAATCCTATATGCTATTTTAGTGAATAGCCAGAGGAGGTGCCATCTTTGCCAATTACCTCTGCTGGCTAGGCTAAGCGGCTGGGACCACACTTGAACCTGAACTCACCTGACTCAGACACCAGAGCAGATGTCTAATACAGGATTATTTTCATGCATTCTTAAGAAATACATAAAATGAAAAAAAATGTTTTTCTTGCTAAAACATTTATTATAAATAATAAATCCAATGGGTATCCTTATCAATGTAACATAGAACTGCTGTCCAACAATTCAACTTCTAGTAATTTAGTATGGAAAAATCATATCAAGAAATTCAGTATAGAACTGTTCATAATAGTTAAAAAATAGGAAACAGCTTAAATGTTAATCATTAGGCATCATTTATATAAAACAAAGTACACATATACTATTTACTATGAAAAATAGTGGTGCTGATCTCTGTTTACTTACATGGAAAGATGCCCATAGCATGCTGTTGCCAAAAACAGGCTACAATTCAGATATACCTGCGCTGCTCACCCGCAGTGCTCCTAGGTGCCTGGATTTGCAGCATGTGCCAGTTAGTAGTTTACTGCCTCTCAGCTTCAAATTCATACTATACTGCTTACTCTGCAAAAATGAAGCTGGCCCTTCATATATTTTTCCTTTGTCAGCTAACACATGTGTTACATTTTATCAGTCCAGGTGCTGGAGAGTAGCTTCCACTAACACCCCAACCTTCAGGTGGTTTTGTAGTGCAATGTGTTCAGTGAGACACCCTCTGTGAACAGCTTTTCATCAGCACAGCAACCAGCTAGACAGTGGGTTTTGAGCAAGTTTCTACCGCATGGAAGCACAGCAACTGCTCTGCCACCCAGTGAGCCATGGCCACGCCCTCTCCAACGTGATGTGAGTCTCAGCCCGGAGGAGGGCCTCTTCCTGCACTCTCTCTCTCTCTCTCAGACCTATGGGGAGTGACTGCTTCTTCTGCCTGCCATTCTTATGTTTGTTGGAGTTTACTTCTTTCTAGCTAATACCTTGTTACTCCAATTCTTTATTATAGTTAATTTGTTTATATTAAAGAACTGAATTTAGTTTTTGCCGAAACCGCTGCAGAGTCTCCCTGCACCCTTTTTACTTTTCAGTGTAGCCTGAATTTACAATAAGCAATTTTTTTGTGATAATCACAAAAGGCAAATTAATTTTATTTTGGAAAAATTCAATGCAAAATAAATTTTACTTTAAGTTATTCTATTTTAACAGAGCAGAAATACATTTGTAGATTAAAATGTTGAATGCTGAAGAACATTTCTGTAACACTATAATTATTCAGTTTTTCTTAACACCAATTTCTTTTCAACATCAGCTAGAACTGTGTTTTTATGTCATTTTAAACAACAGAAATTATTTAGACTGACTTTTTTCCTCTTGGTTATGCCATAATGTTGCCCCTTCCAAAAAGGTCACTAATTGTGAGATACCCTGAAGTGACAGGCACTGTCACAGACATTAGCTCCTCCACCACATGGTCCGTCTGCTCCCTCTATCTCAGCCCCGCTTACCATGTTCAAGGATGATCAGCTGGGCTCCAGCTTGTGCATTTCCAACATCATTCTCAGCAATGCATTGATAGAACCCCTCATCTGATTTCACCAGACCCAAAACTTGAAGATTATGTTCCTTCTGAAGAAGAAAAACATAAATACAATTTTATGATTCCACTGATAGACATTAGTTCAAAATCTCAAGAATATGCCCTTTAAGGAAGGAAAAATGAGCAAAACTGTATGATTCAGTGACTAATGCACACTGTGCACCTGTTTACTCAATTTTATTGACAAGGTACTGACTTAAACTGACTAAAACAGAAAATACCATCATTAATAATTAAAAACTTTATACTCATGAAGAGTCATAACCACAATATCTGGAAACTCACATCTTTGCCGAGAAAAATACCTGGCATGCAATAGCGTGTGATTGCAATGAAGGTCTGAACATGTGAGTTCAAAATATTATTTTAACATTATTTCTAGTGTCAATATTTCTGACAGACCAGACGACAGTAAGTTAAATCAAGTCGCATATAAATGAGCTTTCCTTCAACTATAAAGTACTATATGGATGTCAAACTATTGTTACTTATTATTGATATGGTATAGTTTTAAGATTTTTAAATATAATACAAAAATGATAAAAATAAAAATGTTAATTTAACTATAATACAATGCTTTTTAGTTACAATGAAATACTTGTGAAATGCTTTGTATAACTTATGAGTATACGCTTCAAAAAATAGAAAATATATCTTTCCTTATGAAAAATCTGTAATGGGATTAAGTCTTTAAAAACTATAATTACTAAGAACTATGATTACTACTATAAATGCAAGCATCTTAGGATATGTCATTAATCCTTGTTACTGAAACCTAGATAATTTGATTACTAATATGTTAATGATAATAAAAAGAGATAATATTCCCTTTGCATTTGCTTTATATAAAGTAAAAAGCAGTAATGGTTGAATATTCTTAAATACATTTAACATCTAATTATTTACTTTTGCATTTACTTTTTAAAAGGATCTTCACATCTACTGTCCCAATAATTGTCCAACACTGGGTCATACTTATTTTGCAGGGCCTGAACATCAGTATATGAAGGACAGATTTCTGTTCCTTGAACAGAAAGCTATAAATACAACTAGTGCACGCACATTTGTGCATACACACACACACACACACACACACACATACACACACACTCGATAATCATCACCCAGCAAATGGTGGCAACTGTGTTTAAGAATACTAGTATGTTTAAGTAGGAATACATGACCTAGTACTAGTACTGGTTCAGGAAATCTGGACTTTAGGCTGATTTACTATGTGATCTTATAAGCTACCAAAATATTTCTGGGCTCAGCTTTCCCACTGTTCAATGAAGAGATTACATTCTATGTGAATTTTTCTATCTTTGTCAGCCTTACATAAACTGGTATATATAAAATAACAGATCTCTTAGTGATTACATTCACAGACATTCAAAGGTTTCAGAGATAAGTGTCCTCCTTTTAAAAAGTACTTACTACAATCTTAAAGTAATCACTTGGGATAACCATATCCCCATTCTTGACCCACTTCACAGTTGGAGTTGGCTTCCCAGTCACTTCACATTCAAATATGATATCCATAGATTCATGAGCATATATATTAGTAGGCTGCTTCAGGAATTCAGGTTGGGCTTTAAAACAGAAAGGAAATTAAGATATTAATGAAAATAAAAATGGGTCGCTATTCTTATTTTCAAGAAATTTTTTTTAAAAATCACAGAATTCACTGGGTTTTTACTTATTCGGGCTTTCACATATTTTTATAAAAACATGTAACATTTTTAAAATGCACATTAGCAACACAGTATCTTTAAAAACTGATATTCTGATATAATTAACTTGAAGAATAATTATATTTTTTGAGTTTCCTTGTTGAGAACATTTAATAAATTGATTATAATTAAGAAAGTGATACTATGAATATTCTAAGCTAAAAATGAGTATTAAAGACTATTTCCCTATGATTTATACCATTTTGGAAGAGCCATAATTAAGATTCAACAAGAGTTGAGAAAACTGACATCATCTTCCTTTTCAGCCAACCTGATGAGTAACCCCCCCAAAAAAAGTAATACAAATGTGACAATCAGAGGTCTCAAAATAGTTCACTTACACAACTTGCTCCTAGTAGTAACATCTCTCATTACATGAAACGGATTTTAAAGATTGAAAGGAAGAGTGACAGGACTGTCGGGGAAAGTTTAAGTGTATTCGAAAAAGCCTGATGACAAAAAGAGTGCCCCCCCCCATCCCAGCCGAGTAAAATGTGCTCAGCCTGTGGAATTTTAATTGGATTGTGTTAAATTTGTGGCAACTTGACATCATAACCATCTTAAGTCTTTCTTCTCCTAAACGTTCTCTACCCATATATTTAAATCATTGCTTTTTTCCTCTCATTATCATTAATGTTTTGTAGATTTCCATATACAAATCTTGCCCACACTTTGTTACGTATATACCAAAGAATTTTTAATTTTTTGGTATTACTATAAGTGGGAGTTTAAAAAGTATTTTATTTCCATTTGATCACTGCTAGTATGTAGAGGTGAAGTGATTTATGTATATTGACCCCTCATCTGTGGTCATGCTAAACTCACTCATTAATTCTAGTAAATTTCTACAGACAGTTTTGGGATTATCTACATACAACATATATTTATATGTTGTCTGTAAACAGAGGCAGTTTTATGACTTCCTTTTCATTCTGCCTTCCTCCTTTCTTACTTTCTTGCCTATTAACACTAGCTAGAGTAGGGCAAGTCTTCAGAGAAAGTCCAGACTGGCTCTATAATTTGGGTAAATGAAGAGTAAGAGTACAGAGACCAGGCGGAACACCAGGTGAGCAGGAGGAACCAAGGAGGAAAAGAATGCCTGATCCTTTCTTTTTTTTTTTTTTTACATTTTTATTGTATTTTTTCTATTATCATTTATCAGAAAATAAGATTGTCTGATTTTAAGAAGCAATAAACACTCAGAGTAATGAAGATAAAGAAAACCTAAGTCTGTAGAACTAGAGGAAATCAGGGAGATCTATTAATAATGCATTTAATTATCTTTTCAAATACGTATTAGCAGACTTCCAGTCAAGATAGTGGAATAGGCAGACATGGCTTGTCTCTTCACACAACGAAATCAAAATTACAACTAAAATATAGAAAAAACATCGCTCAGAATTAGCATCTAGAGAATTAAATGGAAGTCTGACGACTACAGAACTAAAGCAACCACATCCATCCAGACTGGTAGGATGGGCGCAGACACAGAACCGACTGGTCCCACACCTACGTATGCTGGATAAAAATTAGTAAAGTGTATCTCGGGAATGAGGAGTCCCAGGACCACACCAGACCCCCCAGCCCAGGGTTCTAGTCCAGGAAGGTAAGTCCCCACAACTTCTGACTGAAAAGTACAGTGGGGATTGAATCGAAGAAACTGCGGAGCCCCAAGCAGTTCCTCTTAACCTACACACACTCATCTACTCAGACTCACTCCCTCTGAGCTCCAGCACCAGGGTAGCAGCTTGAAAGGCACCGATGGCACGCAGGGGGAGACTCAAGTGTCTGGCATCAAAGCGAACAGAGACCATTGTCCCTTTTATAAACTCTCCCCTCAACAAAGCCAGTCAACTGGTGCCATGTCTAAGACTCCATGAACCTGGCTAACACTGTTTGACCCACCTTGGACCCCCAGAGACGCCACCCTACCCAAATTATGAGCCCACCCAAGCTGCTTTTCCATATGAATGGCTGGCCTTGGTTCATGCTGCACAACTTCCTAAATCCTCTCAAACAAGCAACGGCTGGCCCCAGACCCAGCACTAGCAGCAGCCAGCCTAGACTCACAGCTTGGCTTCACCAGGGAATGTCCAAGCCCAGCACAAGTAGCAGTCAGTAACCATCTCAGGTTGCTTTATAGGTCAGGAAGGGTGGCCCCAGGATACACAGGTGGGAGCTGAACTTGGCCTGTACCACTGAGAAACCCTAGGGCCAATGCACTCAATGGACAGCTATAGACCACACTGGAACAACACCACCTTACCTTGACACAGCTGATCCTCCACGGAGGAGCAAGGTTGCTGGTCAGTGGCCACAGCCAGTGCTTGCAGCTGACTGGCCTGGGTAAATCCCTCCCATCGTTCTGCCTAGAGCAACCAAGGCTCAACAAGAAGAGGAGGGTGTACTCAGCCCACATGAGGGGCACACCTTGAGTACCCAGATTGGGTAATAGAGGAGGCTGTGCCACTGGACCCTACAGGACACCTACTACATTAGGCCACAGTACCAAGACATGGAGTCATAGTAGTTCTACCTAATACACAGAAACAAACACAGGAGGCTGCCAAAATGAGCAGACAAAGAAACATCATCCAAATGAAAGAACAGATCAAAACTTCAAAAAAGAGCTAAACGAAATTGTGACAATTGGATGCAGAGTTCAAAACACCAGGTATAAGGAAGTTCGAGAAATTTAGTGAGGACCTCAGCAGCATAAAAAGATTCAATCAGAAACGAAGGATACAATTGAAATAAAAAACAATTTATAGGGAAACAAGAGTAGAATGGATGAAGCCAAGATTCAAATCAGTGATTTGGAACATAAAGAAGCAAAAAACAACCAATCAGAACAAGAAGAAAGAAGAATTTTAAAAAATGAGAACAGAATAAGCTGCCTCTGAGATAACTTCAAACGGTTCCAACATTCACATCATAGTGGTGCCAGGAGAAGAAAAAGAGCAAGAAACTGGAAATCTATTTGAAAAAAAATAATGAAAGAAAACTGCCCTAATTTGGACAGGGAATCAGACATGCAAGTCTAGGAAGTACAGAGTCCCAAACAAATGGATGCAAAGAAGCGCATTCCAAGACACACCATAGTTAAAATGCCAAAGGTTAAAAATAAAGAATCTTAAAATCAGGAAGAGAAAAGTAGTTAGTTACCTACAGAGGAGTTCCCATAACAGTGTCGGATCATTTCTCAAACGAAACTTTGCAGGCTAAAAGGGACTAGCAAGAAATATTCAAAGTCATGAAAAACAGGGAGACTGCTCTACCCAGCAAAGCTGTCATTTAGAATCAAGGGCAGACAAAGAACTTCCCAGACAAGAAAAAAACTAAAGGAGTTCATCTTCAGCAAACCATTATGATATGACATGTTTAAAGAGACTTATTTAAGAAAAGAAGATCAAAACTATGAACAATAAAATGGCAAAAAATACAAATCTATCAACGATTGAATCTAAAAAACAAAGAAAACATAAACAGAGGCAGAATCATGGATACAGAGAGCATTTTATTGGTTGCCAGATGGGAGGGGGGTGTGGAGGAATGGGTGAAAAGGTGAGGGGACTAAGTACAAAGAGTTAGTTACAGAATAGTACAGTATAGAAAATGGAGTAGCCAAAAAAGTATATACATGACCCATGAACAATGGTGGAAGGATTGCCTGAGGCACTGGGGGGTGTTGCATGGAGGCAGGAAAAAGAGGAAAAATCAGGACAACTGTAATAACATAATCAATAAAATATAACTAAGAAAACAAACATACATTAGCCATTTGTATTTATCTGTTTGTGAATTATCTATATATACCCTCTATTATTTTTTCAATTAGAGTACTCACAATTTTCTTATCAATATAGTAGAGCTGTTTCACATAATGCCAGTCAGTTATTAATTTTTGGCCTCTCAGCTCCAAATCCCCTCTTCTTTGTAATGGCTATGGACATTTGTCAGCTGGTGCAACCTTAGACTTTGTTAAAAGAGGGTACTAGAGGGACACTGTAGGCTTGGCAGAGGAATGTACTTATCTTTCAGACTGGAGTGTGCTCTTCTTCTTGCCCCAATGGTGTGGTAGCTAGAAAGGATCTGAGAGACCTATGAGTGATCACCCCCCAGCAAGTTTTTCTGCTGTATCTAGTTTCTCCAGTTTATGCCAGCTGGTGGCTCTCTGTGCATCCACTCTGACCCAGAGCATCCCCCTGGACAGCAGCCAGCATACCATCTCATGGCAGCCCATTATCAGTTAGGCCCATGGCAACCTAGCAGATGGCTCTCTACACACCAGCTTAGGCCTGTGGCATTTAGCAGGTGATCTCCTGTGGACTAGATTGGCCACTGCTGAGTCCTTTGGCAGCAAATACAATCTCTCCAAGGTATGAGTCAAAATCTTGGGTATGGGTGCCCTCTTTCAAGTTTGTTCCTTTTCTGCATTCTCCCCTCAGCTCTAGAGTAGTAGCTGATACTTATTTACTATGTTACTCTTTTTAGTAGTTAAAACACCTTTTACTAGTTAGTAATTCTTCATATTAAATTTTCCTTGTTGAAACTCCTGGTGTAATCTATAGCTCCTGACTAGACCCCAACCAACAGAGACAGTAATCCTTTCTTATATATGCTGCCAATATGTATTGTTATTGTTGCTGTTGTTTTTTAATTTAAGGTACCTGCTGTTATATCAAGGTTTTAAATTTGCATGTAGTAAAATTCATGAGCCCTTTCATTGTGGCATCTGTATTTTACTCTTCTAACGCCAAAGATTTTCCCTGTTCCCACAGTGTATAAATATTTACATTTCTTCCCATAGGTCTATAAAATCTGAACTTCAATAAATATCCAGCTTTATGTTTTTCTAA